TTGCTGGCCATACCCTCCCAGTTGGGTGGTCGGTGTGTCAGCATGGTGCAGTACGTTGAGTGCAATGGCGCTGTCAGATTTTCAGGAACCTTCAGGGTGGAGAATGCAGAGTGGCGAACTGGTTGTTCAAGGAAAGTATCGTGGAACTACCATATGTTGATGCGGACAAGCTGTTTATTTAGCGTCAGGGTACACCCTTCGTCCGAGATCAGAAGATTTGCACATGAAGGGCTCGCGTGGAGGCCCGCAAGATTGTGACTTCCTTGCTACGATGGATGGCCTCAGTAGTAGCTCCGAATGAGAGCGACTAGTGGATCGACAACTTCAGCCAGTTGTCCTGGCAATCTCGCGAAACTGGCGGTAGTTATGTACGACAACATGAGATCAAGCCTAATGTACCTATTTGTATGTTAGTTTCGGTCTCCGAACTCATCCACTGATTTATGAGAAGTTGGTCAAGAATTGAATGCATCTCCCGGACGGCATAGGAGCTAGGGCTGTGCTGGTACAAGGATTAAGTATGCAGCAGATTCCCAACCTAGCTGGCAGCACACAGACGTCGCGGACACCTCTTACAGGATCACTTCACGGTAGATACGACCAGTGGTCAGAATGTTGCCAAGCTGGGTTTTATCAGGTTCGGAGACTGGAGATCCGGTCGGAGCAGAAGATTGTGCAATCGCTACATTGCACTCAACTCCCTGTCTCTCTCGAAAGCTGGGTGCGGTTTGCCAAAATGCTATGAATCTTTGCGTTAAACAAACCTGCCGCAATTTCATCGAATTTCAGTGCGAGCCGAATGGCACCAGGATCCACCCACGGTAATTCGCTCGCTTGGGGGCCCTTCTCCTGCGATGAACTCATCCGAGATAGGATGTTGAGGACAATTCGCGAGAAGAGCCATAGCCCACTGCAGTTTTCGATCGCATTTAGCAGGTGGCCTTTAGCCTGGTAGACCGGATAGGGATGTTGTTCGTTCGCACATGAGCAAGTACAAGTCTTGGACGGGCAGCTGAGCATCAGCATCATCCCTATTTCAGTGATACTCTTGCATGCAAAGGGGCAAGTGGCTGAAGCCTGAAGGAGTGTCGAATGCGGTGTGAAGCGTTTCAGAGTGAGCCTGCAGCATTTCAAATGTGTCAGTCTGCAACGATTCACGGGTCCTGCCAACCCCATGCTGGTAGCGAATTCATGATTTTTTTTGACGTGCCTCATTCCCGAGTCTATAAGGTTCCTCTACTTAGCCTAGAATTGAAGCTTCGCCACTTGCACCTGTGTGGCCCGTCTGGGGCAAGCAAGACATGGTGGGCGGAGTGAAAGGAGGTGTAAGAGCGGCGGGAGCCGGCTCAGAAATCTAGGTTTGTCAGCATCAGCCTACTCCGCCATCGGACCGCGAGGCCCACCTCCGCCGAATCACGGAGGGTGCCCCGCGGAATGCCGGCGTGGTGGTTCTAAACGAGGCAGGAAATGGCACCATGTGCCTGGTGCACGCGTGATCGGCTGACCCGGCACAGGCCGATGTGCCGATTGGCTTTGGCGTCACGGCGAGGCCGTCCGTCGGTCCGTGCCGTCGCATGAAAAAATGGGCCTTGGCATTGCTGCGCATGCGGACTTGTGCTCAGAGTAAATCATTTCTTTAACTTGCTGCGGCTTGGAACTCCTCCGACTATCGTCCCAGCCGTTTTACAGGTCGACTGACGAGTGCACAAATCTCGGGGCGGAGGCATTGCGGTTTCGCAAGTGGTGCACATCGGTACACTTGCCATGCACGTTTGAACATGGCGCAAGTCATACGTGTGAGAGGTTCCAAGCCAGCGCTCGTTAGCCTTCCCGTTCTTGGCGTGCCCTCCCAACAGGCTCTGGTGGTCTACCATCAAGCAGATGCCGGGGCCTCCAAAGGCAAACGTCCCTATACGATCGAACTTATCGAAACTGAAATTCCAAGAACTCTTGGAATACTCCATCTCAGTGCAGGCTCCCACGTTTGAGCACTCAGTGTTCAGAGCGAAGCCCCTGCCCTAGGTTTTCCTCGGCGATATATAAAAGGCTGAACGACATGGTCGAGAGATAGAGTTGGATCGGACGCCGTGACTTCTTGACCATGGACTTCGCACCCTTCGGGGGTATGGACAGAAAACGCTCAAGAGAGCATGTGCTTGTCTGACGTTTGTGTCCCGACTCCGCAGCCTTCGCTTGAGAAGATTAGCACGAAGGGAATTTTTTCGAGCACTCGCACCAGAGCAGCATGCATGCAATAGTTGCATAGTCTTTTGGTGTGTTTCTTTTTCGGTGTGGTGATTCACGTGAAGATTCTCGACGAAGCATCCTTCAAGGCATTGAGTACTCCGACTCGGAGCGTAGTGTTGCAAGTGTTTTCGTTTGAGCGCTTGAATTAAGTCGTGCAGTTCCACATGTGCTCACCACTCCGGCCCGCCTGAACCGGGTTGTTCGTACATGTTCGTACTGAATTGTTCCTTCGCATCATTTCGCATCGCATGGTGCCAGGCACTTGCTGTGCGACGTTTGAAGAACACCAAGGCTGTCAGACACCGGAGAGGTGAAAAAGTCCGTAGCGCGAGCGAATTAGTGCAATGTATGTTATGCGATAAAAGCTTCTCGTGGAGCGCACGCGTGCACCTGAAAGGACAGTTGAGAGAAATTGTGCAGTCTCGCATGTTCTCTTCGTTCGACGATTACAAGGCCTCAGATCGGAGTGTTTTCGTTTCCCACCACTCCCTCCCGAGTAGCCGTGCTGTACGTACTCAACTTTGGTTCGCATCGCTCAACCAGGCACATAGTGCCAAGCGCTGCGGTGCGACGTTCGCGAAACACCAAGACTGCCAAGGCTATAAGACACCGGACTGCTGTAAGGGTCCGTAGTGCGAGCCAGCTAGTTCGGTGCGTGTGAACGGTAAAGCCTGTCGTGTAGTGCATGTGTGTGCATAAACGGACAAGTGAGTGTAGTCTTAGTAGTTTCATTTATAAGCACTTGCGAAAAATTGTGCAGTTTCACAATCAGTTTCACATGTGCTCTCGCGACTCCCGCCTGAATGAGCCGCGTTGTTCATATTGAATTTTTCGTTCGCATCGTTTCACATCGCGCATAGTCCCAAGCGCTTGTCGTTCGATGATCGAAGCGCAGTATAAGGCTCTCAGACACAGGAGATGCAAAACGATCCGCAGTGCGAGCGTTCAGCCAAAATTTGTAGCTAGGGCCGGCATACATGTTCACCCCATGAAAACATGTCGTTTTCAGAGTCCTTCTAAATACCTCTCCCAGGTGGGCGAATATTTGCGAGAGGAGGCCAGTTCCTTCGGATCGCAGTAGATTCACTGCCATTTCCACTGCCAGTCAACCGGTCTTTTGCCTTGGTTGCAGGAATTCTTCGATGTTATATCTCACATACACACGTTGCTACGTGCTGCACGGTTTTTCCCGTGCTCGTCCTCAGAATGTCCACGATGTTTGAGTAAGAGTCAGAGTGAGTGGTGAGGAAGAATGTGTGGGTGGGAGAATTTTGCAAGTGAACCGGTGGCTGGGTCGGGAGTGAGTAGATACCCATCTTAGACGCCACATGTTTGTCAGTTTAAGGCTTAAGTACAAGAACCAGGAAGGTGGATGAGAGATGCAGAGCGATTCAGACAAGGAAAAGACAACGAAGCATGTGGCTTGCGGACGTATATACATGTGTGTTTGAGGTTTTGCGCTTGTAAACTCCGGGATGTGCCCAAACCCTCAAACCTTAAAGCCAGCACCAGCATTCCCAAGCCTTGTATAGCCGCCCGACATCCGGATTAAGCCGCTTAGAGGCTACAGGGTGAATATGGGTGTGTCTCCATTTTCCTGCGAAGGGATGCCGGTCAAGGAACGGTGTACCTCTCCAATCATCTCCCATGATTCTCCCAACCGAACTGCTTGCACATCGATCACGCATCCACCGAATTTGCATTGCAGGCGCAACACTAATTGTGAAGTTTTGGTAGTGCATCCGTATGACCAGACGAAACGAACCGAGTGAGTACATAATGCACACATCACTGCCTACTCCAATTCGATTGAAGTGATTTCCCACTTTCAGTAGAGCTGGACCCGCAGTGCAGGCTATGTTCGAAATTATTCTGCATGAGTTGGGTGTGGCGCGGCTCTTCCATCGGCTTGAGGGATTCATGCAGACATGTCGGCGTAAAGTGGAAAGTCGCAAGAGTAGCCTTCGACCCTAGTAGTTCACTCCCTCGGTCGCTTCAAACACAGCCAGTGCTTGGGACGGTCCAGCAAGACCAGAGTTCGGGCGTTTGTGCAAAAACCACTATTGACTACCTCTAACACGTCTGCTTGCCACGAGCAGGCAGACCTGGTCTGAAGACTTCCAGGCGATAGCAAGCTACCCGGCTACCGTGGTTTCACAGACAGTTTGGAGACAACGGCTCGCAAGTCCAAAGAGATGCGTTTGCGCTGGGGTCCCAGTTGCAAGCCGAAGTGGGAATCTGTAGCAACAGCCGTAACGTCCATCATGAGTGTCGCAGATTTCAGCACTGCACCAATCTTCCTGGTTCCTGCACGTGTCAGGTGTGCAGGTTTCGGATGCTGCTTTTTGTGTGCAACTACATTATTGCACGTACATGTTCAAGACCAACATGTGATCTAGACTGGCATTCGGTTGCTATTGTTGACCATACCAATCGCTCCATCTGCTACACGTAGTACTCACGGCATGCTTATCTTGTAAGGTCGGCCTGTTCAGCCATTCGGCGCTACAGTCGTAAACTGCATGGGCACTACAGGATAGAAAGCCGTTGCTTCGCAGACTTTGGGGTTTCCTCTGGCCGCGCTACATTCAAAGTGCGATGTGCCAGAGTCTCAGCAGGTCCAGGGAGATGAATTCAGCTGGTTTAGATGTTAATCTGCGATGAATCACTTCCCTCACAGCGAGGATCATCTGCTCGCTCATGGGTCCGTTTGAGATCAGCGAATCAGTGGCGGCACGGTCAGGCCTCCTGCAATGAGCCACGAGATTGTCCCATACGGCAAGGGCAAGGCCATGTCTCACGGATTTGCAAGTTTGAAGTCTGAAGAGCGTCACGACACTGGAGGGCAAGAGCATCGATGATGCCCAGCTTCGGAAGTTCACGAAACGCACTGTTGACTACGGTTCTGACGTGGTCCGATGGATGGAGGCTTGCAGTGTGCATGGATTCCGAAGTCTCACTAGGCTCAGAAGTCCGTGACGTTGGAAGCCCTGTTACAGGACTGTGTGGGGCGTCGTACGCGGCCGAGGCGCCTACAAAGAACGTCACTCAGACATCTGATGCATGAAGGGTGAGGGTTGAGTTCCAGATCTTCCTGCAGATAAGGACACTACAACTACACGAAGGAATTGGTTCCTCCTTTCGCGATGCCGGACCCGCCATGTCTTGAAGCTTCGAACTTCGAAAACCTTGCAACCTGAGTTCGAGCTTGCAAGCTGAGTTCAAGCGATGCACGCCCGCGGAGGGCTTCAGAAAGCTGCTCTGACCCGAGCCAGGCCGCGAAACCCGTACGACGGCATTTGCCCCCGCTTCGTCTATGCAGCTGTGAACAAGAATAGGCCTCTGCATTGATCATGATAGAATGTCGGCAGGCTGTAGAGGTGGAGCGTTCCTGCACTTAGTCTTGCTGCCTGGCATGTGTCAGACTCGTATTGATAGGTCGCCTGTCTACGTGGCGACCTGGTTCCCCAACGGTGCGGCGCCAGGAGAGGCACTCCAGTCCTGCTCAAAGGTAGGCCTTCAGCACACGGCTGTGGAAGCCCCGAAAAAACCCGGTGTGCTCGGCCACACATCATGCAGTTGAGCCTCGCCCTCGTTCCACACAGATTTTGTTGAGCGCAGCGCCGCTGGTCCCACAAGCGTTAGGCAAGCCTTCAATATGGTGCAAGAAGGATTAGTGCGAGGAGTGCTGCAGGCGGAAATGAATAGCTGTTTCGGTCGATAAGCCGATGAAAAGTTTGCAAAAACTCTACGGTCACAAGCCAACCCGATGTCCAAGGCCGCCGCATTCTCACTGGTACACTTGCAGGCGAGATGACCATCTGGAATGGCCGCGAAGCTGCAAGACCATTCGTAATAGCGGAGAGTCACCGTGCAACTGTACAAAGAAAATCGTGATGGCATACTCTGGTCGTGATCCTGCTTAGATACTATACTACTGTTGGCAGACGCTGTTCTCGGGTAGTTTGAGGGTCCGCAGGTTGTAAGTTCAAGACTCAACGGCAAGACAACGGGTAAGTTTGTGGCGCAGGAGCAGGAGCCGCAAAGCACAGAAATCGCCATTCACGGAATGTAAATTATGATTTCAGTTGTTCTCAAGAGTTGGAGTGTTTTCAGAAGTAAGTAATCGGTTCTTGAATGATTGCTACTTTGGAGCCAGCGTGCTTTGAAGCGAAGGTGACTCGACTGATCTGCTGGAGATGCTGGTTGCATAATTAGTGGGCGCACGGGCAGGGTAGGCTTGGTGGAGCCATAGCTGACGAGTACGGAACAACAGCAGCGCTAGCCCAACAATCCGAAGGCACCGGAAACAACAGCGGGCTTGCTGGCGGTGCGGCTGTGCGTGTGCCGTTTCGATGGGCTTGAGCATGTTGTCCGACAGGCGTTCGAACATGACACGGGGTTTGGGCCCACCTGTTGACGAGTCCTATACACGATGTAGATCTGGTGCTGCTGGCCCGGTGACCCTGCGGCTGACGGCTGTCCTTTTGAGATGTCCGTGCTCAGCAGTGCTCTCTCCGACTTTCTGTCACTCTTTGACTCACTCCGGACATGTTTCGTGCCGGAAGCCTCTGCACACAAACCCAGACGCGGATGAAAAGCGCGACAGCAACGAAGTGCAGGAGCAGATACCTGCACACACACTTGCTCCATGGCCTTCGGACGTGGTCGGCACGTGAGGATACGTGGGACAAGCGGTCTCTAATTCACTTCCATGCAGCCTTGACCTGGCGGGGGCTCGACAAACCTGACAGCACACAGTTAAAAAGACGATGACCAGGCGAAGTGAGAGAGTATTTGCAGCGCAAAAACCTTCCTCTCCGACCCAAGCCAAGCTATTCGTCGAGCTCAGCAACAAGGGCCGCTACAATACAAGACTCGCAGCTGTCCCCCGTGCCGCCACCCTTCCTACTGGTCGACGTTTAACCATGGCGCGTTACATCACAGCGGTGCCGGCGAAGGACATTGAGGCATATCGAGGCCATCGTTTTGGAAATGACACGGACGCACATCATATGTAATACGATCAATCCGAGACATACTGAATCCGTGGGTGGGGTCTCACTGAAGGTCGAACGGTGCCCCCACCGCATTTCCAACCACCACCACCACAACCACCTCCTCGTCCTCCGCAGCCACCACAATCATAACAGCAACCTCCACAGTTAATTAATGATTGTAATATTAGTGGCATGATGACTATTACAACTGTTCGTTTTCTTATTTACAATTGTAATTATAACTTAACTGTTACAGCTCCATTCTCGTTACTGTTATTCCTTTTGATTGAATGTCAGTCTTGTTACAATCATCAATGGTACTATGCCATCGGAGATCCCCAAACAGTGAAAGACTGCACCAGATGCATGCCATTCTGACCGGGACGTCACGACCACCGTCACATGCGAACGGGCTGGAATAGCTTGGGAAAGCAGAGGTCGTAGTTGCTATCTGTGTTGTTTTCCAGCCTTTACGGACCCACGAAGGAATATCATGAGGACAACGAACCCGGAGACCAGTAAGAAACAGGAGACCACCAGGCCACTGCCCAAATGCTTTGCCCAACACACTGTCGCATTCAAACTACGCCCCGAATGCCTTCCTGCTAGTAGTGGCGGGGTTCAGACACAAGTGAGAGAGCGACGAAATCCCCTTCCACCCAGTACTGGTGGCTCGAGGAGCAGAGCGGAAGTGCTTTCCATGAAGTACTGGCGCAGGCATGCGCAGGCGACTTATGCTTCGCCCCTTGAGCACTTTAGCTTGCGAGATCTGGCGGAACACCCAGAATCGTTTCTTCTAAGTACTGCTGCGATGCAAGAATGGCGAGAGTAAAAAGTGGTCTATGTCGCATTACTTACAATAAGTCAAGTCCTTCCCCCTTGCCCGTGCGGCAGGCGAATCCTTCGCTAAATAGCAAGATGTTGGCGAAAACACGCACCGCGCCATAGCTGCAGACGCACGTCGGGAGTATCCTACGTACAAATAGGACGTGGGGGCCCGACATGCAGCATCAGCTGTAAAATAATGGGACTTGCGGAGCCTCTTTGCACTGTTAGCCGAGTCTGCCCCTGGACCCTGTAGTCCGGAACAGCATGGAACAGCCGGTTCCGGAACACTGCCAGCCTGCAGTGAGGAACAGCTCCGAGTTATTCGGGAATGCGAGTCAGCAGTCACTGTAAGGAACAGCATTCCGGAGCAAACCCAGAAAGCACTCACAGCCGCATCTCATCCGAATACCTTGGGTAGCACATGGGCAATTTATGGTATATTCCGCTTGAAAGTTCTGTAAGCTTGCTAAAAACCCTATATACACCTTTTTGATATTCCTTACGTGAGCCGTCATGAAAACTTGTCAATACTCTGGAAAAGTCTTGCTGACATTTTCACAGGATAAAATGCTCTACAATAAATCAAGACAGTTCCAGACTCTGGCCCGGTCTGTTCGCGACTTGCCCGCCCATGTTCCCAATCGCCCTTCTTCCCTATTCCAGACTCATGCCTCATGCTTGTTATGGACTGGCACCCGCTTAAGCCCGACGTGCGCGGCTGACTTCGGTCTCATCCAGCCTCTTGTGATTCCCGACGTGGTACCTTACTGGTAGCGACTAGTAACTAGTAGCTTTTTTTGTTGGGTCCTGCTTAAATGTTTTTCATTCGGCACCCCTATCACCCCCTAGCAAGAAGGCGCTTATCAGAGAAGATGCATCCAATCTGTCATAAGCACTGACGAGAAGCAAGGTTTGGCCTTTCATTCCGAGAATGTCATGCAGGCACACAATGTCGCACACTCAGTGGCCTGGCACATGATGTCAGCTACCAGCTACCACATTGGGTGTATCGACATGGCAAGGCCGGGATCAAGGCGATGTGTTGGACTCCAGACGAGGCAGGTGAGGCCGTGCAGATGTGCCACATGTCAAAGGCTGAAGCTCGGAGCAAAAAAGGCCATGCAACCATACTTAACCACTGAGGAGCGCATTGCTCGCTGGCAAGTTCTTGAAAAGGGGCAATGTGGGCTGCGGCTTTGCGCAGGAAGGGCTTCGAGGTTGCTTGTGCTTCAGGACGGCTCCAGGGGAGTGGTGGCTAGTGCGATGTAGGTGCTCCAGGGCTAAAGGCTAGTTTACACAGGTGTTTCAGAATTCTGCCGGTTCTTTAGACTTCGGCTTCAGAGGTTTGGCACCTGCACGCAGTGAACAGGAAAGAAGCTAGGAGGTGGCAGCAAAGAACCTTCAAGAAAAGCTTCACGACCTCCGCAGCTGCGGCTTCGTTACTGGTGGCCGATGCTGCTTTTAACACAGGCCGTCATGGTAAGCGGCGACCAGCTGGGCATGATCAAGCTTTGGGCGACGATCTCAGATGCCACCTTGAGCGGCTCACCCACCACGTGCAAATGGCTTTTAGGAAAGTGAAGCAGAGAGAACATGCATGCCCAGGCAAATCGCAAAGGAACGGGAGGCATTTGAATAAGCATATGCGGGACCGTGGAGTGCAGAGCTCTTAACAGGGAGGTGGCTCGACGCAAGACCTGGGGACCTATTGGGGCACGGACGGGCACAACGAGCTGCGACATTGCCTCAGAAGAGCCCCAAGAGCACAAGGACCGTCCAAGACTAAGGATCCGTTCATCTACAACTTCCAGACCTTCCAGGGCCACAAGGACTCAGTGTGCGACATAGCAGCAAAGGCCTTAGGCTGCAAGAGCATTGATTCGCCTTTTGGCCAGTCGGTGAAGCCATGATCACATCCAGGTAGCACCGACTGGGGAAAAATTCTGCTCCTGTGCAGACGACTCACATGCAAAGGCAAGTGGTGAAGGGATCGGACCCCAGAGCCCCTCGCCGCCTTGTGACAGGTTTGGGACTTGAAGACCGGCGAAGAGGCATCGGAATTGATCGGGAGGTTGGAGCTGCACCGCGGAGTGCGGACTTCGAAGGAGCGGGCATTCACCGGTCATGGCTGGGATGTAAAGTCGGCAGCTGAGAGCTTTCTCAGTCTCCCGAGCGATTAGTGCATGTGCTGTGGGTGTTGAGGTGCTGCGCGTGGCATCCGACCAAGGGTTTGGTGGCCACTGGCTCGAAGGTTCTGGGGGACGACTTGGCCACTCGTTTCGTTGATCACATCAAATCTCCGCGATTCGCAGGATTCCCAGATCAAACTCTGGGATCCCCGAGCATCCGAAGCGATTACCACTATCTTCTGCCATAAGAACACCGTCACGCGCGTAGCTGGCTCCTCAGACTTCAGTCTGTTTGCGAGATTCTGACGAGAACCTCGCGCACGACTGCAAAATGGGCCGGCTCAGTTGGCGTCCAAAAAAATGTAGGCTTGCAGAAGGGCGCAGTCTGCGTAGGACTTGAAGCGGATCGCTTCCACGCAGGCCTGGAGCCCACACGGCCAATGGCTAGCGAGCGCCTCGAGAGACCAACTGGTCATGCTCATGGCCGGAGCCTTGGAGCCTTGCTTGGTAGCTCAAAGTGCGGGCACTTGCCTCCTCTTGCTCCAAGGACGTGCGCACGATGAGTGTGCGGAAGGTCTTCAAGGCTCATCAGAAAGAGGCCGTCCCGTCACGGTGCTGGCGTTGTGTTGGAACCCGGAGCACCGAAAAGGTGACCTCTCTCTGTTGGCATCCAGAGTCAGACTCCTTGCTTGCGCTCGGCCCTGAGTCCTCCTTTCAAACACGTCCAGGTTATTACCATTTCTTGCCGAGAAAGACATATGCTGACGGCTACATTGGATGCAGAGTCTGTCTTGCCGGTTTCGGACAAGACCTCGCAGTGTCCAATGATACGAAAAGGCCGCACGCGCAAGGTCCGTGCAAGCTCGCACCAAGGGGAAGCGCAAGGTCTGAAGCTAGAGATGTCCTGTAGTTTCGTATTGTACGAATACCTTCATATTTGTCCGCGCGTTGCGAGGTCCGTCCAAGCGCGGACCAAGGGCCAAAACTAGGATAAAGGAATATTGGACAACGCCTAAATGTTCTGCCAGCCGTGGGCACAGTTCGCTGCAAAGAGCAGAGCGCCTCCAAAGGTCCGGAGGCTACGATGGTGCCATCCACTTCTGGGGCATCCATGGCTCCTCGTCGCCAGTGGAAAGCTTGCCTCTGGCTCACGAAGGTGCACCGGCAGCTCCGAAACTTTCCGGTACTCTGCGCTGGCACGACATTGACATAGCGTCATCTTTGTGAGCTCCGGCCTGCAGGTCCCGTGTGGTCCTTGGCGTGGCAGGGGGCTCGAATGCGTTCGCCCATACCGAAGACTCACTGGAGCTGCCCAGGCATCCGATGGGCCATCTCCTTGTGAGTGCTTCCAATGTCCGTCCGGCTTGTTCACAATCTTACTTGCACCACTATGTCACTATGCCTTCTGTCTGAATTGTCAACCCAGGCCATCCCCGGAAAGCCCCTTACTTAATCCAAGGGACAATAGCTCTTCTTCGCATGGGTGCATCACCAGCCTGATTCCACATCGAACCAGGAATCATCTGTCATCTTGAACGACATGACGCAAGTCTGAAGGTGTCTGCAGCAGCACTGACACACCCCCACACACACACAACACTCTGAAGCGATTGGCAAATCCATCGCCATGGCTGCCGTGGCCGTGAATGAAGGGCACTTCCGCCGTGAAGGTGGACGCGACGTGGCCTTCGGCACCCTCGGGGAGGAGCGATGCGACAGCCCAATAAGTGCTTGGCCAATGAGGTGCAGACAACGTGACACTGGACCCTTTTGTGACGTCACGGTCGACAAAAAAGGGGGAGTTCTGGCGCTGCTTGCAACGGCTTGGTTACAGGAAGGCAGTCCCACAGCGACGCGATGTGACATGAGATATGCGTGATAATGCGAAACTGCCACACTTGTCGCTCAAGCCGGATGGAATTGAAGTTTCAATCCCGTTTGCATCGTGGTTGAACACGCCAGGGCTCGGCCAAAGGCCTTTCCATTCTTGCAGGGGCATGGCATGGTGCACGTATGCAGGTTGCAGCCAGGAGATCCAGGAGTCACGGCATGAGCCTTCTTTGGCAAAGGAAGACAGTGGTGCATGAAGACTCGCCACTTAGCTGAAAAATTCAACAGGAAGCAGACTCGACTGCCTTTCTCTTGCGAAGTTGGATGCGCACTTACATGCAATCATCCGGACCTATGTGTTTGCGAAACGTTTGTTTGAGCAGTCGTCCCTTTTACAGATGAACGGCCGACGCACACAACCTCAAACAGCTGTTGCTAAAGGTCGAACAATCTTTCCGATCGGATGTGAAACCTTCGTGAGACTGAAGGCATGCAGATTGCAACGGAACAGGGTCTGTCAGGATAGTTGCAACAGGATGCAGGAAAGAGCCACTTCTGCGATTGAGTGTTCTGCCTAGGAAGCCCAAAGGTACACACATCAATCAACACGTCGAGAATAACAGCGGAAACTGAACAACCTGGATTGGCAAGCCGAACAAGTAGAGGAAGCTCAGGCAGGAAGCCTGAGCATTGCTGGAATTCCCAAACCTGGAAGTATCGCGGCAGACGATAGTATGAGTCTGGAAGAGCTCAAGAAACGGACCTTGGAAGCTGGATCGGAACCAGCACAGGGAAGCCCAAAACGGGCACGGGAAGGTGAGCCTACTTCGCCAAAGACAGTCTGCTTTTGGCAGGCAGGGTATCCCAGGAAGAGGATGCTTCTCATCGGGATGAACATGAGGACCTCAATGCCGTAGAGTGAGAAGACATCGAGTACGAAGATTTGATCGAAGAGGAGATGGAGGATGCACCTGAGAAGGAACAGGGACAAACACCACCAGAACTCAGTCCCGAAGAGCTTGACGCACTAGACCAGGAAGCTGCAGTGGAAGAGTTGAACCGTCTAAGCAACATAGGCATCATGTCCAGGAGTCGGAAAACACACGAGAGGAAAAGTGTGTGGACTCGTCTACGATTGGAGATTCCGAGACAGCAGGTGGAAAAGGAGATCGCCGGCGAGAGAGTACAGGGCCGGTGTCAGCTCGACGGCAGAAACTTTCTCACCGACCGCATCGAACGCAGCAAGCCTGTTGATACTATTTCTCCACTTGATTTTTGGATGGGTGATCGTAGTTCTCGACATAACGACACATGCCTCCAATTGGAACGGCAAGAACCAAAAATTGTGGTGATTCTAACGCTACGCGGCCCGCCTCGGCTGGTGGCTCCACTAGTGCCACGTCAGCAGCAGCAGCAGCAGCAGCAGCAGCAGGCACAGAAGGAGCACAGCGACTGGCATAGGGCCCGGAAGGCTGGGAGAGAGGGGGAACAGGAAGGGGAAAGGAGAACCGAAGGAAGGGTGGGAGATGGAAAGCAGCGGGAAGATGGAAAAGTGGCAAAAGATGGAGAAGAGAAGAAGGAAGTGGGGCAGAAGGAAAGGGGAAGGAGGGGAGGCTTGGGGAGGAAAGCACGCAGAAAAAGGAGAGCGAGGCGGCGGATGGGAAGAGCAACAAATTGAGGGGGGGGGGGGGGGCGGGGGGGGGAGGGGGGGGTGGAGGCGGGAGGGGAAGAGCAACAAATTGAGGGGGAGAGATGGGAAATTATGAAAATCACAATTGACAGAACAGAAGCCGGGCAAGGGGGTCGAAAACAGGCGCCAAAAGCGGGTGGCAGTTTGCGTTTGGGGTGCAGGTGGAGGGTTACTTAGTATAAACCATCAAAACGCCAGAGGCCTTTGGCCTCGGCGGATTTCCGAATGGATGAAGACAGCGCGCCGGATAGGCGAAGGAGTACCATGGCGTCTCAAGGGATGTTTGCCGGAGCAACCTATCGCGGTGACCAGGTGGCACGACCACCTCAGGTCAATACTGGAGAAACTGGGCTTCGTGGTCTCCGTACACGTGCCAGCGCTCGCGAAACACAAGATGCGGCACCTATGTATATCCATCCACACAGATAGTGAACTCTTGGCAGGAAAGGGCAAGGAAACAGAGTGCTTGGTATCAGAGTTGCAGAAGATCTTCAGCGTTGAGGAGGAAGGACCGTACCCTCTACCACGGCGAGGAGAAGGAGGAGAACTCGGGCACCTCAAGCAAAAGTACATATTCACGCACGAAGGAATCATCGTACAGCCAAACGAGAAATATGTCAAGAAATTGATTGAATTGTACAGCTCAGGTAGCCTGAAGAGCAAAGCGACACCAGAACACGTGGACTTGACAAAAGACGATGGTAGCAGTGGAGCTCGGCAGAGTCACCGGCAGAAGCGGCACAATGTTTGCCTTTCCTGCAATGCTCGATCGGACCTGGAAAAATCACTTAATCGAGATGTCCGGCATGATTGAGACGTGTTCGGGGGTTGATGAGCTTTCCCAACATTTCCCAACGAGTTTGCTATTACCTGGCTGACAACTTGCTGATGCAAGGCACACTTGCAGATCATGCAGCGTCAGAGTTGCTTTCAGGAGGATGGGCATGCTGCGCTGACATTCTACCCGCTGGGCAGCTCTCGCCAGGCCTTGGTGCTTGTGGAGGAGAGCAGGGGCAAATCACGCGTAAGCGACACTTTTTTGTGTGGATCGATGCGAGGCAGCAATCCTTGAATCCTCGGTGCTCTGATCTTTAGCTATCTTTAGCTGAGAAATGCTGAGAATCGGCTGCTTTATGTAGCAGGAGGCCGCCAGGAAGGCGAATCTCGGAAGCACCGGAGCGTGTTGCATCTTGATGCCGAGTCTTCTCGTTCCAGCGTCGGTTGAGACTGCGAGTGCCACAGGAAATTGCGGCTCCTTTGCGCAAATCGGCCCGGCAATGGGAGCACCAGCCCACCTCTGGATCCACCGGAAGGCTTCTGAGATCAGATCGTGCGCTTTCGAAGCCGTGAGGAGAGTTGCAGCGCATTTTTAACCTCAAATCAGTGTCCGCTGGAACACTCTCACGGTGCCAAAGCTGGCCGGCGAGCTTTGCGAAATTTAAGGTGTTTCGGCCACTGCCTGGCATCTCGAGACTGCTGTTGACGATGCCAGGGCACTGCTCGCAAAGTGCTGTGGCCTTCCGTTTGGGAGCAGTGTCGGAAATTTTTTTAGACCAAACGAAACCTCACTTCGGTTTTTGGGAGTTCCTGTTATCGGCAATAGTTTCCGTACTTCCTCGCGTCGGTTTGAGAGCTTTCGGGACGAAAAATCTTTTAGCAGCATAGCTGCAGAACCTGTGGATCCCTTAATTGTGCAGAAACTTGCTTGCTGTGTTGGATCCCTGAAGCCTTGGAACTGTTCTGCACATTTCTACGGCTCCACACTCAGCTAAGGCTTCAGATTGTCAAAGTATCCATCCTTTTCTTCTGTGCCGGCACGCCGTTCGCTTTACGATTTGCCTCAAAGCCTTCCGGCTGCAAGAAGCATCTTGCGAATGCATGTTTGATGCGGCATGCTGGCAGAGACTTTCCTGAGGTATCCTGAGCTGTGTACAGGACGAATGCTCGGCGTGGCCCCGTGGGTGTCGCCTGCCGACTGCCAGGACGAGAGCACTGAACCCTGAACAGCTTTGCAACAAGACTCTACAATGCTGCATCACACAGATTTCGTAGTTGGATTAGTCTCGATGGCTGTTTGTTCGTTTGGAGCTAGTCGGCATCGGAGTACGATGGACGAGTGACCCTAGACTCTGGACCTGAGATTTTTGCCAGCAGGGAAGTTTGATTCCACCTGGGTCCATGAGTCAGAGTCAGAGTGAATCGCATTGTAGCTCTCTTAGAAGGAGACAAAGGGGTTCTTCCGATGGGCGTCCTCGCTCCCTACATGCGTGGTCAGCTCCGTGGGAGGTGGACGTAGCATGGGGATTATCAGTCCTAAAGTAGAAGTCATGCCTTGCAGTATGCTGTCAGTGGACATAATGGGCCATCTGCGAGAGATTTGGGTTGGAGAGATTTGGCAACAGTGCACCGAGCCTTGTCATGAGAGCAGAGTAGGTTGCTGAACCAGGTCCCTGGATGGCTGCGGGAAGCTACTTCACCAAGTCCTTGCCATCAACTTCACTCGCTCGCGCGGGGCTAGAGAAGGAGGACACACCGCACGGCGGCACTTGAGTCACAGTACCTTCTTCGGTCGGTTCGCAAGGAGGCAATGATCTTCGACAGAGAAGCAGTCAAGATGGCGGCACGCTTCCGTTGCTTGTTTCAAGCTCGGGTGGGTGTAGAGAAAGACAGCCTGGTTGTGTACTAACGTGCTTACTTGTACAATATCTACCATATTTCTTTCAACTTAAGTGTCATGTGGCAAGCACAAGATCTCGCCGACATGGCAGCCTGCAATCTCACATGTGACATTCAGATCATTCTTCCCGCCTGCCCGTCCTATCCGTCCTCATGTGCCGCTCTCTCCTCTCTCTCTCTCTCTCTCTCTCTCTCGCTCGCTGTCTCGCTGTCTCTGTTACTCTGTGTTGCTCTCGTTCTCCTTCTGTCCGTCTCCTTGTGTCAACGTTATCTATGCGAGTGCGGCAAAACCTTTTGCAGTCTCGTTGACGATCTTCGTTACCTTCCTGCGTTGGCATATGCGCATGCATGCACACCCAAACACAATCACGCAAAAACATATCATACACATGCATTGCATGGGCATAATATACATTCGTTCATACATATGTACATGTACATAGGCATGCACTTCAGCGGATATGTGCAAATAGCATGCATGCATCATAAGTAGTATGTACGGACTTGCGTACCTGTATACATTCCTACAAGCATACACACGCACACAATCTGACACGCATTCGTTATCGTCTGTTCACGCAAACGTGACGGAAGAGCCAAGCATTGATTGTGGCGCCATGTGGTGCCATCCTGGGTGACTCAGAACTGTTGACGCATCGTCCAACACACACAAGGTGGCTCGACACTCTGCCAGAGTGAATCAATGCCAGTGCGGGTGCACAGAGGGAGCCTGGACCCCTAAGTGTTGCGTGCCAGTGATGCTAACTCGGGACCAACACGGAAACATAGTGCAACTGAGCAGCTTGGTCGAAAGGAAAGATGATGATTCAAAATTCTCAAGCGAGTGCTTGATTCAAGATCGGTCGAAAACTCAAATCTAGGGAGAAGCTTGTCGTGCGCGTCCTGTGTCGCCAAAGAATCATACTCCAGCAAGTAGATGGACCTCACCAAGTCAAGTCTACTGTGATTTAGGAGATCCTTCCACAAGATTCAGTTGTTCTGCGTCTCCATGAACAATAACATGCTCAGCCTCGCAACCGCGAACACCTGGGGAATCGGTCCATGCAGGTCGTTCCCGCGCAAGAGAACAATTAATTTCTTCAGTGACCCAGGAACGAAAGTTTGTGCTCACTGCCACATAAAGACTCCGATGCTCCCTCGGCAAGAGCACAAGTCTTGTCGCTCTTGTCGCTGGCTCCAACTGCACATTGCAAACACGGCAGGAGCAAATGCACTTGTGGTTCCAACAAAGCCCCTTTGTCCCATTTCATCCCACTACCCTTGCAGCTTGCATCAGCTTATGAAGCTCGCACGTGCGAGGTTTGCAGCCACAGATAAGATCTCAGGCAAGGCAGGATTTTGCAGCGAACCTCATGAATTACAATGGGTGGAGGAAGATCAGTGGAAACCACAGTGTTAGTGTATGTAGCTGCACAAAGGCATCCCCGGTTTGCGCCGCTAGCCAGTGCAGGTTGACTCATGCATTAGGTAAGGCAGGCGCAATGAACAAATGTGTCTTGAACATGAGCTGTAGTTCCAAGCAACGTGACCCGTTGATGGATTCTGCGGACACCTACAGTAAGTACCATTATAATTGCCTGCTCACAGAGCTTATCGCGTGGATCAAGCAAACCCAGGATGAAGTCGCTGACATCGTGCAGCAAGCCAAGACCAGCGGTGCAAACAACTAAGTGGGACCCGTTTCTGCGACGCAACAAAAGAAGTTCCGTGGCAAAGTCGGGCAGTAGAGCTGTGGAATCCCATTAAACAGCCACACATTACTTCAAGGTATGGAGAGTTGAACTTGACATTCCTCAACCCCAAGATAAAATGGCCCGGTGCACAGAGGGAGCCTGGACCCCTAAGTGTTGCGTGCCAGTGACGCGGGACCAACACGGAAACATAGTGCAACTGAACAGCTTGGTCGAAAGGAAAGATGATGATTCAAAATTCTCAAGCGAGTGCTTGATTCAAGATCGGTCGAAGACTCAAATCTAGGGAGAAGCTTGTCGTGCGCGTCCTGTGTCGCCAAAGAATCATACTCCAGCAAGTAGATGGACCTCACCACGTCAAGTCTCCAGTGATTTAGGAGATCCTTCGGCAAGATTCAGTTGTTCTGCGTCGCAATAACAGGTTCAGCCTCGCAACCGCGAATACCAGGGGAATCGGTCCATGCAGGCCATTCCCGCGCAAGAGAACAATTAGTTACTTCAGTGACCCAGGAACGAAAGTCTGTGCTCACTGCCACATAAAGACCCCGAATGCTCCTCGGCAAGAGCACAAGTCTTGTCGCTCTTGTCCAATTGCAAACACGGCAGGAGCAAATGCACTTGTGGTTCCAACAAGGCCCCTTTGTCCTATTTCATCCCACTTCCCTTGCAGCTTGCCATCAGCTTATGGAGCTCGTGCTGCCAAGCGTGCACGTGCGAGGTTTGCAGCCACAGATGAGATTTCAGGCAGGATTTTGCAGCGAACCTCAAGAATTACAATGGGTGGCGGAAGATCAGTGCAGGTTGACTCATGCATTAGGCAAGGGAGGCGCTATGAACAACTGTGTCATCAACATGAGCTATAGTTTCAAGCAACGTGACCCGTTGATAGCTTCTGCAGACATCTACACTAGGTATCAAAATACTTGCCGCTGTCTTACCGCTCGGATCAAGCAAACCCCGGATGAAGTCGCTGACATCTTGCAGCAAGCCAAGACCAGCGGTGCGAACAACTAAGTGGGACCCGTTTCTGCGACGCAACAATAAGTTCCGTGGCAAAGTCAGGCAGTAGGGCCGTGCAACCCCATTAAACAACCACACATGCAGGTTCAATTTTGTTCCTGGGACATTTCGTCCTTGAGCCGTATAGCAGCACAAGGCATCCCAGGCTTTCGTAGCTAACCAGTGCAGGTTAACTCATGCATATTAGGCAAGGGAAGCGCAATGAACAACTGTGTCACCTACAGTAGGTACCAGTAGAATTGCCTGCTGACAGAGCTTATCGCGTGGATCAAGCAAACCCGGGATGATCTCGCCGACATCTTGCAGCAAGCCAAGACCAGCGGTGCAAACAACTAAGTGGGACCCGTTTCTGCGACGCAACAATAAGTTCCGTGGCAAAGTCAGATAGTAGGGCCGTGCAATCCCGTTAAACAGCCGCACATGCACGTTCAATATTGTTCCGGAGAAATTTCGTCCTTGAGCCGTGTAGCTGCACAAAGGCGTCCCAGGCTTGCGTCGCTAGCCAGTGCAGGCTGACTCATGCATTAGGCAAGGCAGGCGCTATGAACAACTGTGTCATCAGTCATAGTTCCAGGCAACGTGTCCCATTGACAGATTCTGCAGACACCTACAGTAGGTACCATTATAGTTGCCTGCTGACAGAGCTTATCGCGTGCAGCAAGCCAAGACCAGCGGTGCAAACAACTATGTGGGACCCGTTTCTGCGACGCAACCATAAGTTCCGTGGCAAAGTCAGGCAGCAGGGCCGTGCAATCCCATTAAACAGCCACACATGCATGTTCAATATTGTTCCTGGGACATTTCGTCCTTGAGCCGTGCCACAAACAAGTTGGAATACTGTCGCAGGCCGTGCAATGTGAAGCACGCGAATACGAAGCAGCCAGTCGAATTCGTTTACGTTTGCCTTTGTGGCAGCCGGCTTCAGACTCTGCGAGACAGCAATGTCAAAAGCCCGTTTCAAGTCAGGAATCGTCCGAGATAGGACGATGAATTACCGATCCTTCTTCATACTCGCAAAGCATGGTCCGAAGACTAAATTAATAGGATCCAGAAAGAAGCTACATGAAGCCACCGTGTTTCGGATGGACCCACAAACTCACGCAGCTTAGCCAGCCTTGTTGCACAACGTTCGAAGGCCAGCTTGCGCATGAGCCATGTTGCGGCAAGGCCGGATTGGCCTCAGGCTGCCGACCCTAATAAACACAGAAAGCGGCCTATCGTGCATGCCGGCACAATGAAGACTCCCAAACGTTTGCTAAGATTTGTCAGACTCCAGGTCCCAACCCGTGTGGAAATCAGCCGAGCTCGAAACGCATTTCTGTTGTCGAACAATGACGGTTGATGTCAGCAGTCACTCTCCCATCCGAACAAGTTTCGTGCTGAAAACATGTTGCCCAACTCTTGTCTGAGACCAGCAATCTCGCATAAGTTGCCAAAACTGCATCCATCTCTGTCGCTCGAGCGACTCCACCGCATCATACAAACCTTGCCCGTCTTCAAAGTATGATCAGCCGAGCCAAGAGGCATTGTGTCTCTTGTTCATGACAGCCCCACACAAAACCAAATTGTTCACGTCGTGTGCCCAGCTTCCGGTACAACGTATACCCCATCTTTTGTTCCGAGCACGTGCATCGAAACTCCAGCAGTGAGAGTCTTTTGTACGATGCCGCCAGTTCGCACAGGCTTGCCGTTCACGTTAAGATACGAGTACGTCGAAACCCGCTGTCAAGCTGCCACATAGACTTCACCTCGGGGAGCACCGTATCTGATTGGGAAGGGCTGCCCCAATTTACTATCCGGAGAAATTGGGCAAGGAACACTTTCCACGGTGGTCCCCAGAAAATCATCGCCCTCCTTGCGTGGCGAGGCTCGGTTCAGAACCCTCATGTGATTTTGTGCAATGCAATCAATGGGCATGCTTATCTGCATTGCCGTGGCAACCGCAATGAACTGCCTTCCTCGCGTGTTGGCATGTCGAGTTTCTAAGAAGTTGCCCTGTGAATGTTGTCCTTCATCCGGTACGGCTGACACATACAGATGTATCTTCCGTCGCCGAGAGAGGTCTCACGTACGTGTGTGCATACATGCCGACACTTTTATAGGCCTGGGTGTTACTAACTAGTTATGTGTGTTAAGATAGTTAGCCAACTAGTTACGTAACTAGTTATGTAACTAGTTAACTTGAGATATGCATAGTGTGAAAATGACATAGGCAATAGTGTGAAATGACTAAGAAAATAAGCTTGCAGGGACTTTGCAAAAGTTGTATGTAAAGGTCGCAAAGCCATAATTTGGCTTGATAATGAGATATGTTTCAAGTGAACATGCGGAAAACACCCTACAGATGCAAGCTGCATTTCCTTTTCTTCCAAAATATGTCTTTCACACACATCCAAGCGATGAGCATATTTCATGGCCCGAGCCTTTTCAACTTAGAGCCATGCATCGGCTTGAAATGCTTTCATGGCCCGAGCCTTTTCAATTTAGAGCCATGCATCGGCTTGACATGCACCGGCTGCCTTCGGAACTCATATAATGCCACACATTTGTTTTGCAGCGCCCGTTGTTTTCTGCATGCAGCATGATCAGCATCGTCATTTCAAATGCGATGGAATCAAGGTGAGAATGCCATCCTTAGTGCATGTATACGTAACCGCACTCAGAATCTCTGCCACGGGGACAACAATCCTTCGGTCTTGGTTCGTCCATGTTGCGAAAAACCTCTCCGGCATGTAAGAAATGAAATTGTAGACTTGGATCAAGCAAAATGCTTGGCCGTCGATCTTGAACGGGGCTTGCAAGTGCCCGCAGTCCCGCTTGGCATGCGAGGTTTCCTCTGGCTTGAAGAGAACCACATCATTTCTAAAGGCCCGGGCGCCACCCTGCAAGATGACAAAGTTCGAGGTGTAGACTGGGCCCTTGGAAGCAAACATTTTTTGGACAAAGTTGGCCAAGGCATTATTCGGCTTGCTGTCTGCAGCCAGACCAACTTCAGGAAGAGGGGTCCTGGCCATCCTGTGCAACTGCTCGCCTAGCAATTCCGTGTAAACGGATTGCTCGAAATGCGAAAGGTTCGTCACCTTCGTTGCCACAGCTGTGACCTGTTTGTGTTTCCGCTCCATGCACCAGCAGGGTATTAATTGCTGCAGCTCTTCCAAGGAATCCCCCATGTGCAAAAGCCAGTGGAACTTTTTGGTCATCACGTGCCCCCACTTGGTTTCGAGGAAAGCCTTCAAGCATGCTTCCACCTTTTGGTCTAAATCTCGCCCAAGCACCTGGATCTTGCCGATGTTGCAAAGTGTGTCCAACACGAGACACAAGGCCAAGAAAGCAAGGATTTGCTTCTCAAGCTGGGGCGCACGGTTCGCGAACAACTGAACATAGTACCTGCAAATGGTGTAAATGCAGAGGACATCTGAAGCTTGGCACTTGATCTTGCCATTTGACCTGTGGGTGGAAACCCTAGAAGTGGAAAAGATGTCAGCCATCTTGCAGGATTCGAAGGCTCGGGGCAAGTGCCAATCGGACATATAGCTTTCCATGCCTTTCCACTTTCCACAACTGCAGATCTTCCATGTGGAATGCTTCCAGAATACAGTAAAGCCCAATGTTCATAGCACCGGAGCTGCAGGTTGCATGCATCCAGTCATGCACGAACATCGTGCAGGGCTCAAAGTAGTCTCGCCGCAAGCCACAGCCTAGAATACCGTGTGGTGTGTACGTCCAACCGGATGCTTGCTCCCAAAGGCTGAAATCCTTGGCAGCGGTGGTTGATTTCCTAGAATGCAAGCGATCCCAACTCTGCAGGCATTCCTCGTTCGAAGTCAATATCAGGTCTGCCTTCTTCGTCGCTTTGCATACCGCCTTTTCATCATCTGTTTCATCCTTCAACAAGATAGCAACCTGATTGCTGCACTTGAGACAGAACTTAGAGCCACTGTCGCCTTTGATTGTGAAGATTTCCCTTTGGCTTGCACCATCTTGGATGAAATATCCAAGTGTGAAAAACAATCGCCACTTCGAGCCATCAGGCTTGTCTAGCATAATGCCCAGATGCTGCGGGGAAGCCACCTTTCCATGGAAGATGCTGCAGAGCAGGTGCTTGATCACTTGGGACATGTGCCCCTCGATCTTAGCAACACTGCTTGACCTCTGCACAAAAATCGGCAGCCAGCTATCTTCCTTGGATAAGAGCTGCTGTCCGAACTCCTTAAAGGAGACATAGGTAACCCAGACCTTCTTCCCTGCGTTGGCCGCCAGTGGGTTGGCTGGCAAGCACTCGTCTGAGCACATAGCCAGGCTCCACGGGGACTCCAAGGACGAAGGGCCATGCACACAGATTGCAGACTGCATGCGTTCGAAGAAGTGGCCACCCATCTGCACGGCAGCATACAGCAAAGTGAGCAGGTTCACCATGCAGACTGCCATGCTGCTTCCGTCCTGGCAAAGCATGGACTCGCTGAGGAACATCGGGCCATGGGCACAATCATCCCATTGCTTCAGATCTGCAACCGCCGATCTCCTCATGGACTTGGAGCTCTTGGCCTCCGGCACCCCATGCTCCTCCACATAGTGCAAAACCTCAGAGAGTGCCTGCTTTGTCACGAAAGGACAAGCTCTTCTCAAATCGTTGATGCCCTTCAGCTTCTTGCTGCGTTGGCTCGCTGCCATGTCGGGCTCATGCAATTTGGATGTTGCAAGTATCTATGATGCGGGCCGTGTCTACAAGCCTGTATAGATACGTTTAGCTTCTAAAGTCCTGCACTTGGATTTTGTGGTTCTAGGAATATATATATATATATATATATATATACTATATTCCTATCTAGTCGATGTGCACTATAGGTTTGGAAGCTTCGGGTTGGAGGAATGCATAAATAGGAAGTGGTACTGAAAGATTTGTTGGGCCCTTGAACACTATATAAAGTCATGAGGACGAGATTGCTCATATTGTACATAGCCAACATAGGCTTATATGCAACTTACCAGGCCTTTAACTGAAAGCCTGCAGTTGAGATGATGGGCAAACCCCAAGAAAAGCCAAAGTGGCTACGACATGGCTTGGACAAAGTTAAAAGCCACTGCATGGCTTCCGTGCTAACTAACACGAAGATAGAAACAACAGAGCCACGACGGCTTATAAGCACAGACATATGCATGGCTATATCCTGGCCTGCATTGAAGACCAAGAGCCAGAAGGGCTTCGAAACACTTCTCATAGATAGGAGGCTTGTGCAGAGAAGGCATGCAAAGCCAGAGTGGCTCAGAAACTATAGCCAAGAAGGCTGGTGACTAGACATTAAAAATAGGAATAGAAACTTTAAAACCAGAATGGCTTCGAAACAGCAGACATGCATAGAAGTGAAGGAGAGTATATAGAGAAAATTTAAAGCCAGAATGGCTTGACATGGCCGTGAATGTAGTGAATGTATAGTATAGTGGCTTGCATGCATGCAAACAACAAAAGCCTCGTGCACAGCGCTTTTTTCTTCGTCCTGCCTTGCCCCATGCCAGGGGTGGTGACACCTCCGACTGATGTGCATCTGCATCTGTCGATGCTCGCAAAACCCCACAACCCCCTATACACGGGTGATCCTCGGATCATTTGTACACCTTTCCATAGCGAGCCTTCTGCTCTGCCACAAACTTAAGATAGTCAGCACGACCGCGGAATCTTCTGCCGTTGAAGCTCGGATCTTGGCAAGTTGTGCAGCCGAGAGGATTTCCTCGACATCGCAAGCATCCCAGGACATCCGGGAGGCCTGCTGCCCTTTTGGCTGCAGGCCTTCGACTCTGGATCACATGGTGGCCCTTACGAGTGGAATCTGGCCCATGACGCCGGGCCCACTTCGCCAGACCGGGTGTTGATCTGGGGAGCCAAAGCCAGATCTCAGCTACCACAGCCGCCGAGTTCTCCAGCAAGCACCTCAGATGTGGACTGTTTTCTTAAGAGTTTTTTCGAGACAAGGAAAGGACCAGACGGGGCTTCCCTCACCTCCTTGCTCGGGGATCCTATCCCGCACCATGATGGTTGGTGGCGTATCCCGTGGATTCCGATGGGGGACTCGTGCCGCGAATCGCTGTGCCAAACTGGCTGGCAGCGTGGCTGGCACGGTTGCAAGATGGAGGCGCTCTACTCCATCATATATCATGGAGAGCTCTTACCGAGCACCGACGAGTCGAAGGGCGACCGACTACTGGCTGGCTGTCCCGGGGTCTACTTGCACAAAGACAGTTTACAACACAAGGTGGAGAACTACATGCGGTGGATACCGATGTGTGGAGACGGCCTTTTCTGGGCAGGTAAGTGGGAGGTGGTGTATACTTCCTCGGGGAGCATGAAGGGAAGAGAACTGACCAGGTCATCCAAAGTGCGGAGTCGGTGGAACTGGTAGCCCTCTGGCTTTCAGTGCGATCCGAGAGCATGCTGCCGAAAGGGACTCTAGTGCAGACCACCTGGCTCCCAGAACGAGAGGCCAACCCACGCCTGACTCAGTCCCGGCGACGCAGCAATGCTCTGACAGGGCTCCTCACGACCTCCATGTTCGACTCACCCAAGCAGGCCGAGCAGTTCCCACAGATTCAGAAGTGCCGGCTCCGAAAACTCCGCCGGCGAGGTCCGAGTCATCTGCCATCAGACCTGAAGTGGACGATCAGGGCAGACTCCGACCCAAGCCAAAGGTCCGGACTACAGCTGCCATCGGACAGACCGGCTCCGACACCGATCGGCCTTGCAAGCGGAAACTTCTTAAGCACTCGGCCTCTGACTACCTTCAGGCTCACCCATCTCGCTGCTCTTGTATAGACCTCCGTGTGCAACTATGCCGAGGGGTCCTTCCCCCGATGCCGCTTCGTCTTCAGCACCCGAGCACTGCCACCGAGACCGCACTTGTCGTGTGCTCCCCTCTATGCCTCGAATGCCACTGTGGGAGCCACCTCTCCTGCATTATCTATGTTCAGGAGCATCTCTGATCGAAGTGCATCTTCTACCAGTGGTGCGGGCCTAGGCCTCCTCCTTTGGCATCATTCAGCCAGCCACTTGCTGACTTGCATCCTACATCACAGGTCCGAGAGTGCCATCCGAGCCCGGGTTTCAGTCTCAACACAGCTGTGCTCCCTGTACCGAACGCACACAAGACCTGAGCCAGGAAAACTGACAAGAGCCCCATCGATGCGAAGCGAGAGGCCGGTATCTTGGCAGGCCCATCCCGATCTCTTGTGTGCTCCACAGCACTTCGGCCATCTACTGCGAGTTCTGTTCTCAGGGCTGATCGAGCCGCCTCGCACGCCATCTTCCATCCCGGTTTGCCTGCACCGTTGGCAACAAGGCTGGCCGGATGCTTATCAAGTCGGTCCCTCTGAAGTCTGTGCTGTATGCTCACCTTTGCCGCGACCTGGCCTCGATCTGTCCTCCATGGAGAGCCTACCTCCTGATCCCAGTTTGGGTCTTCAGGATGTCAGCTCCTCGGAAGCCTGGATGCCTAACCTGCTACACCGCGGCCCTCCAAGCTGTCCTGGCCTAGGTCTGCCAAACTCACTGGGCACAGGCACGAGCTTACTGATCCCAGCCAGTCCCTTGGACTCCGGATGCACACGGTCTGCCCTCAGGACATTCCCGGCACGCGATTGGCATACCGAATGGCGGACCCTCGATGTGCTTGGTGCAGGTTTCATTTTAGACGGAACACCCCACATCAGCTCCCCTTTCAACGAAGACTTCGATCTGTTACAAATAAGATGGGGCCCTCGACCAGACGGGATGATACCTGCACCAGAGCTGATTCTACTGAGCCCAGTTTTGATCTGGCGACAATGGACTAGATGCTGCCTCCCGACAAACAAGCCTATGAAGTCGGGTCCACGCCTAGCCACTAGCCTGATACCGATCATTCACATCATCTCTCAAAAAGCGAGCCAGCTCGGTCCCAAGTCCGAGCATTCTCCCGCACACCATACAGTGCTTACTATGCGAGGCAACCCTAAGTATTCGCATAGCCGAGGGAGAATAGGAGCGAGGGTTAGCAACAGTAGCCGTCTGTTGCTGAGACCACCGTTGTGTCCGGAGTGGCACTTCTGTGGGAAGCCACGGCAAGAGCTCCAAAATCCTGCATCTTTGCTGGGTACTGTCCCACGGGACTGCCCATCTCATTATGTCTTGCTCATCCTCCTAACCTCTGTCTCTGACCCCGCTGCCCAGATTCGGACTGCATGGTCGGCTCTCCTCCGACTAGCCCGTAGCTCACAGGTACTGGTTGGACTCTATCTGAAGAACACCCCTCGTCCGACCTGCTTCCTTCAGATCTCGACACGTGTATGCTTTGCAGCCATTCCTGGCTGGAGCATCCAGCCCCTCATCTTACCCCGAGGTCCAGAGCTCGGTCTGCACGTGAACAGGCCTTGCACAGTTCTTTCGCAGTGCCCTACCAGGCCACTGCGCGTGGGTCTCAGGCTGAAGCCTCTGTGGCATCTTCGTGCCACTCTCCCTTTTTTGATCCTCAGTGCCCAGCCACGAACAGTGGCAGGTGTCCCGTCCTCACAACTGCCCCTACATGTAATCTCCGCCGCAACCCCAGCTGTACCGCCTCCTCCAGGTCCCCTTCAATGGACTGCCATTCGCAAGCGCTCATATAAACGTGCCGTCAGGCGAGCTGCAGCGCATCCCGATCAGCGTACTGTCTATCGAGGGCGGACTCGCACACTCAGGCAGCTCCACAGCAACTATGCAGGCTCTCGTTCTGCTAGTGATGCTGCTCCCAGACCCAGACAACATGCCATGCAAAGGCGCCCGGATCGTCTTTTACTTTGGAGCTGGAACGCCGGAGGCCTCACCACTGATCTTTGGACTGAGCTCCTCCTGACCCTTTCGACAATGCCGACGATGCTACGTCCGCAGGTAGTACTGCTACAGGAATCTCACTGGACCGAGGCGGCCCCTCAATTTCAGTCATCTGATTGGACGGTCCTGACCTCTCCTACCGTTGACTGTAAGGCAGCAGGCTTAGTGGTCTTGCTGGACAAGCAGCTCTGTGCCCAGGGTCAACTTACCTATGCGGATCCACTTCCAGGCAGGGTGCAACATGTCCGACTCGCCTCGTCTAAGTGGACCCTGGACCTTTTCAACCTTTATCAAAAGCCCCAAACCACGCAAAAGAATCAAGCCGGAGCTTCCAAAGAACTTCGCAAAAAGGTATGGCACACTCTCCGGACCGAGATCGGTCGAGTGCCGTTGCGACATACATTAGTCATTGCGGGTGATCACAATTGTGAACTACAACCATCTGCATTGGTTGGCCCCAAAGCCAGCTGTGGCACAGGCTCACCGGCTCGAGATCAACACCTGCTGCAGCAGCTTCTTGAGGATCATCAACTTGTGCAGCTCAACTCTTGGAGCCGTCACGCAGGCCCCACCTACCTGCATCATGCTGGTCACAGTCTGATCGACCATTTGCTCGTGCGAGGCACACATGCTGATAGCTTGGCTCGCTTGGCTCGCCCATATTCCACTCCACTTGCTGCATGGCGACAAGGAGGCAGGCACCTCCCACTTGTGGGCACCGTCCGTCTTCAGCTCTTCCAGAAATTGAACCGGCCACCTCCCCAATCTGTCAGGACCTGGGATCACTGGACCCTTGTCCAGACGTGCCTAAACCAGCAGGATCCCCGAATTCTTC